ACACAGAGACCCAGAGACTCTCACACAGAGACTCAGAGACTCTCACCCAGAGACTCAGAGACTCTCACACAGAGAGACCCTCACACACAGACTCACACAGAGAGACTCTCACACAGAGACCCAGAGACTCTCACACAGAGACCCAGGGACTCTCACCCAGAGACTCAGAGACTCTCACACAGAGACTCACACAGACTCTCACCCAGAGACTCTCACACAGAGACTCACACAGAGACTCTCACACAGAGAGACCCTCACACAGAGACTCACACAGAGAGACTCTCACACAGAGACTCAGAGACTCTCACCCAGAGACTCTCACCCAGAGACTCAGAGACTCTCACACAGAGAGACCCTCACAGAGAGACTCACACACAGAGACTCTCACACAGAGACCCAGAGACTCTCACACAGAGACTCTCACAGAGAGACTCACACAGAGAGACTCACACAGAGAGACTCACACACAGAGGCCCAGAGACTCACGCGGCAGCGACTCCGTGAGCAGTGATGGCGGCGCGAGACCGCGCGCGCTGGGTGACACCACGTGGTGCTGACACCACGTGCCGAGTGCGCGCGCCGAGTCACGTGGGGGCGGGCGGCCATCTTACCTGGGGACAGTGCTGCACTGTAACAGTGGGGAGCGGCGGTGCAGCGGTTAGCGCGGCGCTTTGTGTAAACATCGTCACTAGGGAGACAAAGGCGGCCGGGCGTGGTCCTGGCTACCCACTCCCTCGTGTGCCGTGCATAGGTGCTCGCTAACAGCACTTGCCCCAACAGTCTGTTCAGGATATACGGGGGATCTTTGTGAGTGAGTGAGTCTGTGTGAGTGAGTGAGTCTGTGTGAGTGTGTGAGTCTGTGTGAGTGTGTGAGTCTGTGTGAGTGTGTGTGAGTGTGTGAGTCTGTGTCAGTGAGTGAGTCTGTGTGAGTGAGTGAGTCTGTGTGAGTGAGTGAGTCTGTGTGAGTCTGTGTGAGTGAGTGATTCTGTGTGAGTGTGTGAGTCTGTGTGAGTGTGCGAGTCTGTGTGAGTGAGTCTGTGTGAGTGAGTGAGTCTGTGTGAGTGTGTGAGTCTGTGTGAGTGAGTGAATCTGTGTGAGTGTGTGAGTCTGTGTGAGTGAGTGAGTCTGTGTGAGTGAGTGAGTCTGTGTGAGTCTGTGTGAGTGAGTGAGTCTGTGTGAGTGTGTGAGTCTGTGTGAGTGAGTGAGTCTGTGTGAGTGTGTGAGTCTGTGTGAGTGTGTGAGTCTGTGTGAGTGAGTGAGTCTGTGTGAGTGAGTGAGTCTGTGTGAGTGAGTGAGTCTGTGAGTGAGTGAGTCTGTGTGAGTGTGTGAGTCTGTGTGAGTGAGTGAGTCTGTGTGAGTGTGTGAGTCTGTGTGAGTGAGTGAGTCTGTGTGAGTGTGTGAGTCTGTGTGAGTGTGTGAGTCTGTGTGAGTGAGTGAGTCTGTGAGTGAGTGAGTCTGTGTGAGTGTGTTAGTCTGTGTGAGTGTGAGTCTGTGTCAGTGAGTGAGTCTGTGTGAGTGTGTGAGTCTGTGTGAGTGAGTGAGTCTGTGTGAGTGAGTGAGTCTGTGTGAGTGTGTGAGTCTGTGTGAGTGAGTGAGTCTGTGTGAGTGTGTGAGTCTGTGTGAGTGTGTGAGTCTGTGTGAGTGAGTGAGTCTGTGTGAGTGAGTGAGTCTGTGTGAGTGAGTGAGTCTGTGTGAGTGAGTGAGTCTGTGAGTGAGTGAGTCTGTGTGAGTTGTGTGAGTCTGTGTGAGTGAGTGAGTCTGTGTGAGTGTGTGAGTCTGTGTGAGTGAGTGAGTCTGTGTGAGTGTGTGAGTCTGTGTGAGTGTGTGAGTCTGTGTGAGTGAGTGAGTCTGTGAGTGAGTGAGTCTGTGTGAGTGTGTGAGTCTGTGTGAGTGAGTGAGTCTGTGTGAGTGTGTGAGTCTGTGTGAGTGAGTGAGTCTGTGTGAGTGTGTGAGTCTGTGTGAGTGAGTCTGTGTGAGTGAGTCTGTGTGAGTGTGTGAGTCTGTGTGAGTGTGTGAGTCTGTGTGAGTGTGTGAGTCTGTGTGAGTGAGTGAATCTGTGTGAGTGTGTGAGTCTGTGTGAGTGAGTGAGTCTGTGTGAGTGAGTGAGTCTGTGTGAGTATGTGAGTCTGTGTGAGTGAGTGAGTCTGTGTCAGTGAGTGAGTCTGTGTGAGTGAGTGAGTCTGTGTGAGTGAGTGAGTCTGTGCGAGTGAGTGAGTCTGTGTGAGTGTGTTAGTCTGTGTGAGTGTGAGTCTGTGTCAGTGAGTGAGTCTGTGTGAGTGTGTGAGTCTGTGTGAGTGAGTGAGTCTGTGTGAGTGTGTGAGTCTGTGTGAGTGAGTGAGTCTGTGTGAGTGTGTTAGTCTGTGTGAGTGTGAGTCTGTGTCAGTGAGTGAGTCTGTGTGAGTGAGTGAGTCTGTGTGAGTGAGTGAGTCTGTGCGAGGGAGTGAGTCTGTGTGAGTGTGTTAGTCTGTGTGAGTGTGAGTCTGTGTCAGTGAGTGAGTCTGTGTGAGTGTGTGAGTCTGTGTGAGTGAGTGAGTCTGTGTGAGTGAGTGAGTCTGTGTGAGTGTGTGTGTTGTGTATGTGCACGTGTGGATCACCACACAAATGTTGTGAAACTCCCCGTGGTCGCTAAGGTCGCCATCTCCTGGCCTATCCAGGGTCTGGAAGCGCAGCAAGCGGAGACATTTCCATCTCGAGGGGATTTAATGTTTCCCCCTCGCACGCGTTGGTTCTCTCCCCTCACATGCATACTCGCTCTTGAATGGAACTGGGCAAACATATGCCATGCAATGGGGCCCATTGCTTCAAACATCGCCCATGATATATTTTCCTCTTAAGGCAGCCGTGGTATTAACGAATGTGTTCAGTGAGTTTTATTTGTGCACCACTGCCAACGCGGTATCGACAAATTATCCCAATGTAGGACCACAGAGCTTGGGGATATTGTTGGTCGCGCCGGTTTCTGGCTGGCTGCAACACCAATGCACAACATACAGCACTAACATACAACATGTATGTTGAACTTCTATCGCACCGTACGTAGCCAACCGCGATAATCGGAGGTGCTGGCTGCTGGTGAAGAACAACAAACTAAACACAAAAAGCAGTTCTAAAGAAATGGGTTGTCAAAGACATTTAAAAGTGCAGAGCTCCAATGGCTTCCAAATATCGGAAGGAAGAGCGATGGCCGCAGAAGCGCATCTGAAAGCGGCACGCGATGAGGTGCCCGCACCCCTCCTGACCCCCCCGGGATGCACCCCAGAGCCCCCCCCCAACCCCCCTCGGACCCCCTCGGCGAAGACAGCGCAGAGTGCCGCAGCTGCCTCGCCCGCACTGTGGCACTGCAGTTGTACCACGTGGCCACACGGCGGCGGTGGAGATTACTGATCGGGCGTCCGTGTTGGTGAGCTCATTGAGACGAGCAGGGGTCCCCAACCCCCGGGCCGCTGACCAGTACCGGTCCGTGGCCTGTTAGGAACCGAGCCGCACAGCAAGAGGTGAGCGCCTCTTTCCCGCACTGCGCACTTGTCTCAGTCAGCTTCTTTGAAAAGGGGGAAAGACCCAATCATGACCCCCCCCCCCCCGTCCGTGAAAAAATTGTCTTCCATGACACCGGTCCCTGGTGCCAAAAAGGTTGGGGAGCACTGATTTAGAGGACGTCCATGTTGGTTAGGTTATTTAGAGGACGTCCATGTTGGTTAGGTTATTTAGAGGACGTCCATGTTGGTTAGGTTATTTAGAGGACGTCCTTGAATTACGTCACGCACCTAGGGGGGGGGGGGAGTCAGACATTTGTGACGATGTGTGACGAGGGGGGGGGGTTGAGAAATGTGACGTCACATCAAAATGCGTAACTTTAAATAAATATAGTCAACACGTTCTACTTAATTAAATATACTTTTAATAAATGTTTTATCCTACAACATCATAGTGCAGTGGCACATTAAATACGCACTACAATGACAATACTTTAAAGCTATTTGAAGCGTGTTTTATTTTTTGTGGGGGGATGGGGGGCAGAGCTTTGTGACGTCATATTTGAGGGGGGGGGGTCTGACTTTTCGTGACGCCGTGTGACGAGGGAGGGTGGGGTCAAAAGTCGTCCAAAATCGCGTGACGTCATTTATGGACAGCCCCTTAGGTCATTTAGCTCATGAGGTTTGGTCTCATTGCCACCTCCACCATGAGCAGAGGCCGCGGGTAGAGGCCACGCACCGACACTCGGGGCAGTCGTCCCAACTGTTGAAGTGGCGAGCTGCCGGCTTGGACAGGAAGGCCATTGTCCGAAGCGTCGCCTGTATGTGTTCTTCTTTAAAGGCCGCCGGGTTATTAACGAATGTGTTGATTTTGTTTAATTCGGGATTGTGTTCGTGCGCCACTGCCATCGCAGCCAGAGATTCACCCAGGAGAGGGTGCCGTGTATCCGTGCACTCCAGTGACATCCGCAGGGCCAGGCTCGAGCCAGTGCGTGACAGAGTTATTTGCTGAACTTGATCCATGTCTATCAGAGTGGGTCCCTGCCAAGAGGACCTGGCAATTCATCAGTGTTGGTTCAAGCAAGCCTGACTGCTGATTAGTCACCAAGTGTCCAATCCTCACCAGGATGCTGCTTGTGTTGAATCAATGATGCTGCTGAGATCTACTCTCAGAAGGCTGACGGGATGAGTAGAACCACTCGCATTGTTTTTGTGGAGATACGGCTATGAGGAGGCAGTTATTGAGAGATGTCAACTACCTCGCCTGGTATACAGGGAGACGTGGGTTCGATTCCGACCCCGACACCTGTATATTTGGAGTTTGCGTGTTTTCTCCGTGGTCGCGTAGATTCTTCTACGGCTCCTCTGGTTTTCCCCTCCACATTGAGAAACATACGTTTCTAGTATTTGACATTTTCAGATGATGAGCCACTTCATTGAGATATTATTTGTGACCAGGTAGCTTCTGAAAAAGAGCTATTGGACCAGTGGGCCTTACCTGGTAAATAAAAAGTTTAGTTCGGGCCACCTCCCGCACCACGCTTGTGAGCACAGGGACACCGCGTGCTCACCTCCAGACCGCATCACCAGCTTATACCTCGAGCTCACACCTTGAGCTCACGCCTTGAGCTCGAACTTTCAGTTCACACCTCCGGCTCATCACCTTCTGCTGAGCTCCACCAAGCACGCTCGGCTCAGGTTCTTTAATCACGAATACAGCAGCCGCGTTGTACAGACTCCACCAATATTCAGGGACATCTCCACCGCCACTCAGGGACATCACCACTGCTCAAGGACATCTCCACCACTCACAGCAGGGGCAACGGACACCACCGTTGACATTTCACAGATGTGATTGAGATGGTCAGCTGTGATTTCAGGTGCATTTTGATGACTCCATGAGAACCGTTCTTGATCTGCTGAAGTAGCAGCGATAATCCTCGTGCCACTTTTTTATTTCGTCCCAGAGCACCCTGCACCGACCGGGTCGTGACAGTGACAGCAGCAGTAGCGACATCGTGGCGCGTCACTGACACGGCTAAACACACATGAGCGGAGATGTAGTGGCGGCTGCAGGCAAAGCGCATCCCTCACATGAACAATAAATCAAGCTACACTCTAGCCCACAGATATGTCAAAGACAAAGATCCCCCGTAAAGATTTAACAGACTGGCATGCGAGGTAGCCTCAGCTAAATGAGTACCAGGCACTAATTTGAGACTGAGTCGATCACTGGTGTTGGCCATGAGCGGAAATTTAACTCCGGTCGCCGGCTTCGTAGCGCAGCACGCTAACATGCAAAGGGTGCAGCGATGTTGTAATGTTATTTATTTTGTATTATTTCTTATTTGGGGTGGTGGTGGTGTTGGTAGGGGTCAAGGTGTTTATAGAGTTGGCGTTTGTAGGATAGGTAACATTGATAGGACTGTTGTTGGGAAGAGTGATGGTGTCGGTTGGGGTGGTCGTATTGGTAGGAGTCATTGTGTTGGTAGGATTGGTGCTGGTAGGGTTGGTGTTGGTAGGGGTAGTAGTAAGAATAATGGTGTTGGTAGGGTTGGTGTTGATAGGGTTGGCGTTGATAGGGTTGGTTTTGGTAGGAGTGGTGGTGTTCGTCGGAGTAGTTGCGTTTGGTCAGGGTAGCGGTGTTGGGAGGGGTGGTAGTGTTGGTAGGTGTGCGGATTCTAAAGGTGGTGGAGTTGGGAGGAGTGGTGGAGCAGGCATTGATCCGGGCCATGAAGAGTGGTCTCTTTGCCCTCATGATCACGAGGCGGGACTCACGCTCAGCTGGGGTGATGATGTGGGAAGGAGTGGTGGTGAGGGTAGAGGAAGTGATGTTGGTCAGGGTTGGGTTAGTAGAGGAGGTAGTGTTAGTAGGTGTGTGGTTGGTAGAGGTGGTGGAGTTGGTAGGAGTGGTGGAGCAGGCATTGATCCGGGCCATGAAGAGTGATCTCTTTTCCCTCATGATCATGAGGCTGGACACATGCTCAGCTGGGGTGATGTGGCTGGGAGTGGTAGTGAGGGTAGAGGAGGTAATGTTGATAGGCGTGGGATTGGTCGAGGTGGTGGAGTTGGTAGGAGCGGGGGAGTTGGTGGTTGAGCTGGTAGGGATAATTGAGCTTATTGTAGTGCAGCGGGCATTGGTGCGGGCCATGATCATGAGGTGACACCACTCACGCTCAGCTGGGGTAATGGTGTCGGTCCTGGTGGTGGTGAAGGTGGAGAAGATGTTGTTGGTAGGGTTTGTAGGGGTGGAAGAGGTGGTGGTGTTAGTCAGGGTAGTATTGGTAGAGGTGGTGGTATTTGAAAGTGTGATGGTGTTAGTCGAGATAGCAATGTTGGTCGGGGTGGGGTTTGTCATGGTGGTGTTGGTAGGAGTGGTGCTGTTGGTAGGAGTGCTGGTGTTGGTAGGAGTGGTGCTGTTGGTGGGTGCGCTGTTAAGTGTTGGTGAGCTATTCATCATGGAGCAGCCATCCAGCTGAGTCTTGAGGGATCTGTGAGTCCTCTTGATTTTCATGGGGTGGCGCTTGCCCCGAGCCAATTTCCACATGGATCCTCTCATGTGGCGGCTTCGATAAACTCGTCCACGTTGCGATGACTTCTGTTTAAAACTGGAAACAAAATCAGTATGAGAGGCAAGAGATTGCAGTCTCCTTCTTCCCCTGTTGGTCACATCCACTCAAATATTTTTTTTCACTTGCCATCTACCACACCACCACCATTGATTGAACACGGGTGTTGTACTTGCCTTTCAGTCGCAAATATCGGACAACTATTTGTAATCCACAGCATGAACAATGTGTGTGCTTGTAATAAATGTGTGCGACTTTGTCGAGGGTGTGAGTGTGATTTTTATTGTTTGGTGTTGTAACGTTCTAACCTGCCTCTCCTGGACATCTGTGAAAAATAGCTTAATAGCTCATCGGATTCCTCCAGTATAAATATTCTGATTCTGATTTGTGTCATATATGCATGTGAGATTATGACATTTGCCTGAGTGATCTATATCCACGATGCCTCTCTGGGTGTGGTGTCTCTGTGTGTGTCTGTTGTGGTGTCCTGCTGATTCTCTATGTGACAATGAAGCCAGCACACTCTCTCTCTCTTACCAGTTGATTCTTCCGCCAGACTCTTAGGCTGGTAATGGTGATCCCCGTGCTCTCCACGTGGTAAGTGATGGCCACCGGCCCACTGTGCAGCATCTTCATCAAGGTCGTCCACCTTGAGGGAGACGGGTATTCTCCATCTTGCGGAACCGTCATCCAACAGCCTAAAGAAGAAGCTGCTTGAGGTACCATTTCGGCCAAGTTCGACCGAGCCTTTTGTTTCGGGAGGTTGGTGGTGTGGACGGCCATCGCTGGCATGGCAGGAGGTCGCGGACGCCACTGTTGAAAACATTGCACAAGTATTTGTAATGTACAGCACGACAACAAGTATCTTTCCCTCTCTTTAGTTCAGCCTTGACTAACAGCTGGATTCTCGGCAATAAACAAAAGTCATTGGTCACGTGCCATGGCCCTGCGTAGTTTGATCCTCTGGTTTTTCCCTCCACATTTAGAAACATTTATTTCGATAATTTTGATTATTTTGCTGCTATGAATGTCCAAATGATGTCACTTTGTTGATCTATCATTTGTGACCAGGTTCCGTCTGAAAAATAAGTTAGTACCTCAGTGGGCTTTATATGATGGGGGTGGTTTAGTTTTATTTGTTTGTTTTTGGGTGATTTGTTAACCTTTCATGTACTTTGCACTATTATCATGTTTTTGTAGTATTTGTTATTGTAATGTTCTTACCAGCCCCGACTGGACATCTGTGAAAAAGAGCTTCATAGCTCATCGGATTCCTCAACCATAAATAAATAGTATTATTCTGACTCTACTGGCTGGGGAAATAGTTCTGTCCGCACCAGGGCAACTCACCAACGCCGCACAAGGACAGCTGAGTCCACATGTCCCAAATGCCACACTGCCAGTAACAAAAAACACCCTTAAAGTTGCAGTGGATAATATTTAAGCATAATTAATTGAGCAAGGTGTTTGCGACTTTGTCTAGGATGTGTGTGTGGATGTCATATATACTTGTGTGTGTGGTGTATGTGTAGGGGTGTTACGGGAGGGTGAACAAACACACGAGGGGTGGTTATGCCCGCACGCGGAAGGATGCTTATATTCACGTCCGCATCGGTTAGCCCTGGGGGGCTGTAACGGCGCTGTGATCTCCCACGGCCCCACCCCTCGTGGGGGAGTTGCTATATAAGGCGGTGAGCCGGTGGGCACGGGGTTCAGTATTCAGCCTAACTAGTGAAGAGTGAAGACCGGCTAGATAGGCCCTGGGACTCCCCTGGATCGCTGTCCTTCTAAGGACCGACCAGGGCAAGCCAGTGGCGTGGCCCTGAGAGCCCAGAGCCTATGCTCTTATAAGAGCCGGTCTGGTGGCTAAGGGTGCCGTGATCCTAGCTTGGCCAGAGCTGGATCAGCTAGCCTCCCCTAGCTCTCGAGTGGAGGACCTGGGAGTAGGCTATCCGGGCTAGAGTTAATGGGGTCTCCCTGTTAGACGGGTGAAGGGGCCGTTACCCCTTCGAGTGTTGTATACATTGGCCTGTGCTGAGTGAAACATTATAATAAATAAGTGTGCCTCCGACTACGTCGTCTACGTCTCATTGAACCTACTACATATGCGAGTGAGATTCTTATATCTACGCGAGTGATCTGTACGCGTGATACGTCTCTGCGTGTGGTGGCTCTGCGTGTGGTGTCTGTTGCGGTGCCACGCTATGGTCTGTGTAATCGTGAAGCTGGCACTCACCACTGCATTCTTCAGCCACACTCCGAGGCTGAGGAGGGCGATCCCTGCACTCGCCACCTCGTAGGCGATGGCCACCGGCCTGCTGTGCAGCATCTCCATGAAGGTCTTCCACCCTAAGGGAGCTGGGTCGTCGTCTTCTCCTCCTCCTCCTTGGGGAACCTCCACGCCATGGCTGGGAGAGGAAGCGACTCGAGGCTCCCTCTTGGCTTCGTGATCTGCGAGCCGGTCGCTGATGTGGACAGCCACGGTCGCTTTGGCGAGAGGTAGAGGCTGCCCGGCCTGTGGCGGTTGGACCTCCCAGGCTCCCCCCAGGTTAACCAGCCAGTTCGGGGAGAAATTCTCCTCCGTGAGCCCAGACGTGAGGAACGCGTAGCTCGTCACGAGCAGCGCCACGAGGGTGCGTGAGGTACTGTGCAGCCCATGAGCCTCCATGGTGACTGCTCCGGGAGAGGCTCCAGGAGGCTTCGTGCAGAGAGGCGCTCCTCAGCACGCAGCTCGCAGCGTGGCTCCAACGGCACACTGGGCGGAAGCGGATATGACGTCACGGCCCGAGGACGGATGTATGTTGTGTCTCATCTGTGTGTCTGTATGTCTGTGTGTGTGTGTGCGGTACCGATCCAGCTCCTGACAAAGGAGTGGCAGCCTCTCCTCCGCAGTGAGCGTTCGAACATTCCACGTGACCATCCATAGTGGCTTTCGTTGTTTCTGGAGGAGCCCCGAGGGTGAAGATTTAATCTCCTGGCTCCGCCAATTGGGGTTTGGCCAGGAGATGTTATAGACGCCTGTCCCCCTGGGGCCTCCGGCACAAGCTTATTAGTTACATATTTATGTTTAATTCGTAGTTTCGTGGTAATAAATTGAAGGTGGAGGGGTTACCAGCCCATCGCACCCGTCCAGAGCCCCCGTTTAGCCACTGTGGTGGTCACAGATGCCATGAGGGGAGAGGCCAATGGGCATTGGCTCTCCCCCCACAGCACTGTCCACGACAGTGTTGCCCATCCGGCACCGCGAGGAGGTAGGGGGTTGTTTTGCCGGACAGTGATGGGGCAGTAGTGGAGAGAGTGGAGAGTTTCCCACACCTGGGCAGTATGCTTATGACCGGCTCCAGTGTAACAGCAGAGGTCTCACTCCGAATCAGTCAAGTGGCAATATCTTTTCATCGGTTGCGTAACGCTGTGTGGAAGCTGCCTGGTCTGTCGCTCCGCACGAAGCTTCAGGTTTTCTCGGCCACAGTCATTCCCTCCCTTCTCTACGCTTGCGAAACGTGGACCACCCTAATGGAGCATCTTTGCCGGTTGGAAACATTTAGGCTGGCCTGCCTACGATCCATCCTGGGTTTAACCAGGCTGGATTGTGTGAGGAGCTCACAAATCCTTGAAAGATCTGGGCAAAGTCCCATCGGTGAGCTCCTCCGGCAGGCAAGGCTGCGTTGGCTGGGTCATGTAGCCCGCATGCCCAGCCACCGCATGCCTAAACAGCTTTTGTTTGGCCGGATTGAGGGGGCTAAACGGGCACAGCACGGGCTAGAGAAGAGATGGAGTGATGTGGTACAGGAGGACGTGGAGCTGAGTGGACTTGTCGATGACTGCACTGTAAAAACCGAGACTGGGGTTAATTAATGTTTAGTAAATATATAGGAGTAGCCTATACATAAAAATAATGACTATGTGTAGTTTAGAATCACATTGAGCTGAATTCAACACATTTCTATTAGTTATTAATTGTATTTTACTCAGTTTTGTTCAAATAAAATCAGCCATCAATAACTGAGTAGAATTTAATTGTATTTTATCAGGAAAGTCAAAAATGCCAAAAATTGATTAATTTTACTAACCGGGAGGTTTTTGAATTTGATAACGTTACACTCCCGCCCAAACTCGAGGCATTTTTTCGCGCCACGTGCACGTCAACCATCTTCTTCAACAGACACGTTTCAGGGACCGCCGTTCTCCCAAAGGTAAGACATGTTTTATTATTTTAGCGAACAATTTTTTAACAAAGGTGTGGTACCAGTTGAACATTGTTTTATGTTACTGCATGTTACCAGCATGCCAATTTAACTGGCTGTAACGTATATCAGAATTAACTAGCACAACGTTAGGCCTTTGGAAGTCAGTCTGATTCGACTAAAAGCACGAGACTATAATTTTTGTTCCGCACACGAAAAAGTAACATGCGTGATTAAAACTAGACTATATTCATTCGGATCACAGCGTGTACCGAACCAAAAGTCCCGTACCTGCCGTTACACCTCCAGTATATTTTATCTTGGTGTTGATGTACGTACAGTATGCTAACGTTAGCTAGCTTGCCACCAGTCAGTTAGCGTCACCTTTACGTTGTGGCTAGCTTGTTGTGTAGTTGCTAGCTAGCTAGATGATGTGAGTGACAAGAAGTTGATGTGCTAAATTTGAGCATGAAAATTTGAATATTAAAAATAATAAAGAATTATCTTGTAAATGCGATTCTATTGTCCTCATGTGATTAGAGACCTGGTGGCCTTGCATCTGATACATGGACCTTTGTCTGCCTCAGGTTTTTGCTTATGGAATGGAAGTGTAAGATCTGCAAGTCTTTGTCTGCCACAAAAGGGATATCTACTAAAGCATTACAGACTACAACACGCAACATTTGGTCGTGGGCAATCCCAGCCATGCCTATATGACAGTTGCCCTTGCACATTTAAAACGCAGAGTGCCCTTCGCACACATTTGTCCAGATACCATTCAGATGAAGAAAGTCTACGGTCAGGAAACATCTCTGCTTTTAAGTGTTTAGTTTGCAATGCTTGTTGTTCTATAGAGAAGGACTACTTTCAGCATATTGGAAATCATCTGAAGAGCCACAAAACTGTCTTTTGTGTATTTGAAGGATGCAGCTTTCAGACAAATATATACAATACATTTCTAAAACACAAAAGCAAAATACACAAATCCTATTCTTTGAGTGATTTTAAGAAAGATGTGTATGAGAGTCGCCATAATCAGACTGTTGACCATTCTGATTTACCAGAGGCCAATGATGGTGAGGGCACTAGTTTAGATTGTGATCAGGAAAGTGCATCATACTTAGTTCTTCAAAGAATTGGCTCACTTCTGCTGAAGCTAGAAACCATCTATAATGCCTCAGTGAAGTGCATTGATGCCTTGGTTGAAGACCTTCAGTTCATTTCATCTTCAGTATCAGTTGCAGTTGTTAGAAACATACTAGATTCAACATTGAAGGTAAATAAATGCATTTTTGACCAGGCCATCGTAACTGAATTGTCAGCAGTTGTGCAACTTCCATCCCATTAGTACAGCACTTGGAGCAGGTGGTCCACTTGGTTCGGCTTTTAAGAGAAGAAAGTAGTTTAAGGTGCATTTCCAGTGTGTTGATAGCATTGAATATATTATTGATACTGAAAAGAACAAGACCTTTCAATATGTGCCTATTCTCCAGACTTTGCAGGAAGTCTTGAAGAATGAAGACATTGCAGAAATAATTTTATCCAGAAAATCAAATAGTACTGGATATATTAAGTCAATTTTTGATGGAAAATCCTTCAAGCAAAACGTATTTTATGCTGGGGAAGAAACAAGACTGTCTATAATCCTTTACGTTGACGACTTTGAAGTGTGTAACCCACTAGGAACTTCGAGAAAAAAAAACACAAAATAACAGCTGTTTATTGGGTTTTGGCAAATGTTCTAACAAAGTTGCAATCTGCATTAACGTCAATACGCCTAGCTTTACTTTGCAAAGCTGTTGATGTCAAACAGTTTGAATACAGAGCAGTTTTGGAACCACTCTTGAAGGATCTTGTCATTCTAGAACAGGAAGGGATTTTCATTTCCAGTGTTGGAAAAAACATTAAAGGGACAGTACATTGTGTTGTAGCTGACAATCTCGATGCACATTCTATCAGTGGACTAGTTGAATGTTTCACGGGGCCGTACATCTGTAGATTTTGTCTTGGACATTCTTCAGAGTACCAGACACACGAAGTGCGGACCGGAGTGTTTCCACCTCGGACAAAGAAGGAACATAGTTTGCATGTAAAAACTGAGAGAAAATCCAAATGTTACTCATTGCTTTGGCGTAAAGCGGTCGTGTCCATTGACTGATAAATTAAATCACTTTCATTTTGAGTCTGGGTACCCACCAGATGTACTACATACATGACCTTTTGGAAGGCATAGTCCCAAGGGAACTAGCATTGTGTTTTCAGATTGTCACCAAGAAGAAGTACTTCAGTTTGACTGAGCTTAACGAGTTAATAACTGAGTCTGACTGTCAAAGTTCTGCGTTATAGGCCTATACATCGGATAGGCTATCAGAGAATGCACTGATTTGTTATTGAAAGCTATCTTTATTTTTGTTTAATGTTTCTTGGGTGTTCTAACATTGTGCTTTCTTCTGATGTGACGCTGACCTAGGCCATTGCAAGTGTTTGTTCTAAAGGAATAGATGTAAGATGCATAGAACATCTGTAGGCTGTGCTAGTTTACTTGTTAGAAAGCCATGCTTTTACTGTAATTATGCATGTTAAAAAAGATAGGTCCACCCGGATTGTGGATTATGGCTACTAGTATAAGTACAGGGAATGCAAGTCAATTCACGTGATGTTTTAATCTCTTTTAGCTGTTTGAAAAACATATTGGCCCTTAGGATTTCAATTTGCGCATGTAAAAAAGAAATCATATGAAAGTTTTTTTACAGATTTTTTTAAAAACATTGTCGTAATTTAAATGCGTTAAAAAGACTAAACCTTGAATCACATCCAAAAAAGTAATCTGTGCCTGTAATGCCCACAAATTATAAATACCTCCAGTATTGTATCCCTATTGTACACATACATGATTTCTGTCTTTGTTTTGTACTTGTAATATGTTGGATAAACATGTTGAGACAAAATTGCACGAATAAATGTTAACCTGCTGTTCCTTTTCATGGTTCTTATCTCTTTCATGGTGATCGGTTGACTTAACGTAAGTGAATTGTGGCACCACGAAGGCACGATATTGGGTGTATTAGAAATAGAAAAGTTATGGCAACAGACATTCAATATAAGTATTTTATTTAGTAAATCCAAATCATTTTGATCCAGATATTTAATAAGCTTATATCAATTTCACCCAGACAATTAGTAAATGTAAATCAATTTCACCCAGATCATTAATAAATATTAATCAGATTCCACCAGATATTTAGTAAATCTAAATTACCATTGCTCAGATATTAAGTAAATATAAATTATTTTCCTTGTAAAATCTATTTGGATTTACACAATTTTTTTAGGCTATATAACTCATCATTTGGAATCATATTACTAAATCCAACACATTGTAACTGTTGCTTTTATTACCATGTACTTATTTTTTATTATTATTTTTTAGTTAATTTATTCAACACTTTTTATTCAAAGTTGTAGTGCTTAAAATCTACTCAATTATATTACGTGTCACTTTGTTGCCATAATTTTTTTAAGTAACAATGTGTCACATTTTTTACAGTGTGGTACCAGCGGTGTCAAGATCGGCCTCAGTGGAGGAGGCTCGTGAAGGACGCTACTGGGCAGTTGGAGGCAGTTGCCCTCCAACACCAACGAAGGACGGAGGAGCGACGCTCACAACAACGAGCGGAGTGCCGGGTGGCTAAAGCACAGCAAGTTGGCACAGTAGGGGGCACAGGTGGTGCATCAGGCAGCCATCTCAGTCATCTCAGTCAGTCGAACCGTGGCACCTGGGTCTGCCCCATGACCTCCTGCCAGCGGGCGTTCGACACTTCACGTGGCCTCAAGGTGCACATGGCCTGGCACAAGCGTCGTGGTGACGTCACCGCCACTTAGTGGCGAATGGCGGTTGTTGTTGTGTGTCTGTGTGTGTCTGTGTGTTTGTGTGTGTCTGTGTGTGTGCGGTAGTGTAGTGATTAGCGCGCTTCGCTACGAACCTTGCCACCCAGGGTTCGATTCCCGCTCACGGCCACCAACACTGGTGTCGCGTGCCGTGCCGGCCTTCATCGGTGCTGCTCGCTACGGCTACACGGGGAGGCCCAGGAGCGGCTGAGGTAATCGTCAGCAGTGTTGGTGGCCGTGAGCGGGAGTCGAACTTGGAGGGCAGCGTGGTGTTCACCGCAATAATACTGCCCGCTCCCCGACTGGTACACGGTACGTACAGTGCAGGGTGCACAGAACTCGCGGCGTCTCTCACACGGTCCGGGTCTCTGCGTGGAGAGCGGGAGACGAAGGCGAGGGTCACACAGGGTCTCAACACGAGTCACGTCACATCACAGACTCATCCTCACCGTTAACCAACATCATCAACACAAACCCACATCATTAACACGGACCCACATCATTAACAAGAAACTCACATCATCAACACGAGCTTACATCATAACCATTCACCCACAACACTGCACATCTGTGAGAAAAAGCTGTATAGCTCATCAGACTCCTCCAGTATAAATATTCTGATTCTGACATGAACTCACATTGTCACCACTCACAACACACCACCACTATCAGTAACACCACTAACACCACCATTCCTCCTGCCAGTACACTACACAGACACACACACGTCCTCACCACTCACATCACCATTCACCCACAGCTCCTCACCTCCTCCAGAGTCGCCGCGGGGCCCGGTGAGCACGCCCTCGTGACGCAACAGCCCGTAAGCCCCCCCCCCCCATACCCCCCCCCATACCCCCCGCCCCCCCCCCATACCCCCCGCCCCCCCCCATACCCCCCGCCCCCCCCATACCCCCCGCCCCCCCCATACCCCCCGCCCCCCCCATACCCCCTCCCCGCCCCCCCCATACCCCCCGCCCCCCCCATACCCCCCGCCCCCCCCCATACCCCCCGCACCCCCTCCCCCCCCCATACCCCCCGCGCCCCCCATACCCCCCGCCCCCCCCATACCCCCCGCCCCCCCCATACCCTCCACCCCCCCATACCCCCCGCCCCCCCCCATACCCCCCGCCCCCCCCATACCCCCTCCCCCTCCCATACCCCCCGCCCCCCCCATACCCCCCGCCCCCCCCATACCCCTTCCCCCCCCATACCCCCCGCCCCCCCCATACCCCCCGCCCCCCCCATACCCCCCGCCCCCCCCATACCCCCCGCCCCCCCCATACCCCCCGCCCCCCCATACCCCCCGCCCCCCCCCATACCCCCCGCCCCCCCGATACCCCCCGCCCCCCCATACCCCCCGCCCCCCCCATACCCCCCGCTCCCCCGATACCCCCTCCCCGCCCCCCCCCATACCCCCCGCCCCCCCCATACCCCCCGCCCCCCCATACCCCCCGCCCCCCCCATACCCCCCGCCCCCCCCTTACCCCCGCCCCCCCCATACCCCCTCCCCCCCCATACAGCAGCCGTCTTCACCTGAAGACGGCTGCTTGCGTTGTAGCCGAAACGTCGTGAGAATTATTTTATTTTAATTTGTTTTATTTTTATTATTTTATTACTTCCCTTCTACGTGACTTTACCGAAAGAACCAAGAAGATGGATCCCTGCAGTCACGAAAGCTTTAAATCGATACTCACTCTCACTCAATGTCACTCTTTCACTAAAACACTCACTAACTCTTACACTCACTCATACTCACTTTCCCATTTACTCTGACGCTTACTCAAATTCACGAACTTTTTCACTCAAGTCTCACCAGTCACACCACAAATCGTTGGGGGGTCACGTGGCCACTCGTTGAGCGGGAGGGGTCTGAGGGTCTGACGCAACAGAGATAGGGGCGTGGCCATAGCCGTGGAGGTGTGACGTCACTGCACGCGTGTACGGAGAAGGTGCAGAGGAGGTAACTGCAGTAGCAGCACAAAGAGCCGAGCTCTTGTTGCGATTATTTACAGGGATTGGAAAAGAGCAGGAGGCACGGTGAGACTCCATATCACACTCACCCTCTCACTAACTCACTCGCACACTCTTAAAGGCACTCTCACATTCACTGTCTCTTTCACTCACACTCACTCTTTCACTAAAACACTCACCAACTCTCACACTCAATCACTCTCACTCATACTCACTCTCACTCATACTCACTCTCATACTGACTCTGACATTCACAAACTTTTTTGCTCAAGTCTGACACGCACAGCACGAATCGTTGAGCGGTCACGTGGTCACTCGTTGAGTGGGAGGAGTTTGAGTGTCTGACGTAACAGAGATAAGGGCGTGGCCATAGCCGTGGAGGTGAGTGACGTCACTGCACGCGTGTAGTGAGACGTGCAGAGGAGAAATTGGCAGCAGTAGCAGCAAAAAATTAACCTGTAAAAACAAAGTTTTTCACTATAAATCCTTTATATGCGTGGCATCGGTTTTATTTTATTATTCATTTCTGTTTTTCTCGAGTAAGAGTTTCATTTTTATTACATTGGTATTTTAAATGAAATATAAGGAAAGTCGTATATAAGGATTATAAGTTTTTCAGTTTTTGTATGATTGTTTATATTGTACATTTTTGTTGTTTTCTTGTGTTAGTGAAATATTTTTTTTCCTAAAAAGTGGAAAATTTTGGAAAAAATGTTTCACAAAAATAAATTGTCACGCACAACGAGTCTGTGCAAAATGTCAGCTCGATTGGATCACGGGAAGTGGATTAAAAAACGACCGAAAGATTTGCACGGTCGTAAGCGTGCAAGCAAGCAAGTGAACTTAATATGAAGGATTTAAAAATGGATACGTATTTCCCCCTTTCGTCCCCTCTGCTTTATCAATGTTGATTCCTGTCACCAAAGTACACTGATTTCACACTCTCTTCGATCGGCACAGTACCACCTTCGCTTATCATCGTCAGATTCATAAACTTGACGTCTACAAAATGAACAACTTTTTCTCAGCTACCCCAGGTGGGACTCGAACCCACAATCCCTGGCTTAGGAGGCCAGTGCCTTATCCATTAGGCCACTGGGGCTACATGTAGCATGATGAAAGGGTAAAAACCTATTACTATATTTTGCCACTGGTAAAGAGGTCTCATAGTGTAAATGCTTACCCCGAGCTCTCAATACTCTGATAGTGCACTGTCTTTGAGTTGTACGCCTTTTGGCGTCATCTGGTCCAACACCAATGGAGACTAGGCTCTAAGAAAAGCTGTCTCGGGTGTGGACCAATCAACTTCAAGGACAGTGCATATCATTATCATCAGAGTTGTTTCTTTTTGTTCGCATTTTGACTGCTTGTGTTGTGGTTATTGCAAACATGATGCCTTGTATAAAGGTGTCAGTTTTTGTACCATTTGAAAGGGTAAAAACCTATTACTATATTTTGCCAGTGGTAAAGGAGGTCTCATTCTTTACGGGGAGTGGAGACGAGGAGGAGGGAGCACAGTGAGACTCACGCTCACTCACTCGCACGCTGTCAGACTCGCTGTTTCACTCTCAAACTCTGTCTCACCCTCACTGTAATCACTCTCACATACTCTCTCATTCACTCACTCATTCTCTGTCACATGCACTCTCTCACTCTCCCACTCACTCTCACACTAACTCACTATCACACTCACTCTCTTACACTCCCGCTCAATAACTCACGAGTATTTACTCTCACGCTCACATTCACTATCTTACTCATACTCATTGTCTCACTCGCTCACCCACATGCACTCTCACACACACTCTTACTCTCCCGCTCAATAACTCTTACATGCATTCACATTCACACTCACTAACTCACACTCACTCTCTCACTCACTTTATCATGCTCCCACTCACTCTCATTAACTCCCCCACTCACTCATTCTCACATTCTTTCATGCTCACTCACTCTCTCACTCACTCTGTCTCACTCGCACTTACTTACCATCACACTTACTGTAACTCTCTCATTCACGTTCACACACATTCACTCTAACACTAACTCTCTCACTCTCCCATGCACTCTTACAACATCAATCTCACACTTTCACACTCATTCTCACTTTCACACTCCCTCACACACTGAATCTCACACTCACTAACTCTCAAATTCACTCACATTTACTCTCAATCACTCATGCTCACACACTAACTCTGACACTCATCTTCACACTATCTCACTCTCAAACTCATGCACTCTCACACTCACTCTCACTATCTCACTAACTCTAAAACTCATGCAGTCTTACACTCACTCTAATACTTACAAACTCTCACACTCACGCTCACTCACTCTCTCATAATCACTTTATACTTTCATGCAATCAGTAACACAGGGTTGGCATCGTACCCACAACTTCCTGCATCCAGGCGAGGGAGATAACATCTTAGTCTACATTATTGGAGGACTAGTCAACTGGTAGACTAATAGTCAACTGGTAGACTAACAGTCCACTGGTAGACTAATAGTCCACTGGTAGACTAACAGTCCACTGGTAGACTAACAGTCCACTGGTAGACTAATGCACAGGGACAAATGCCACTGGGAGTTCCCAATGGCTGGACCACGTAGCAACTTCGCCCCATATTGCCAAAGCCTGGTCTTCCTCACTATGGAACCCAGGGCCCTCAGCGATGTTGGCTCATTGCTCACTTGCTGCACTTTCCTCAAAAGATTGCTGAAGGTTATACCGGGTGACCTGCATCTTTGTCTGTGTGTAGATGGCCAAGGCTGAAGAGAAGGTGGGCTCCAGGAGCAGCATGCAATGGAGTGCGCTGCCCACATCGGACAGCATTGCCATCGCCAGTAGTAAAACCCCACGAGGTGATAGATATGATCAGAGAAGTCATGGTGGGGGACGTCATGGTGGTCACAGTTGAAAACAAAAACAAGCATGTGAATGGCTATGGAATAAAAATGTCGCGAGGCAGGGTGGCACAGCAGGAACACTCCTCGTGCATTTCTCTTTGGAGTCGGGATGATTTCCCCCTGCTCTGCATGGGATTCCTCCGGGTTCGCCATTTTCCTCCCACAGCTAAAGAAAATTATTCAAACATCCCAATGCAAAAAAAAATTTGTGTTAGTGATTATATGCAGTCCAGGGACTCAGTGGAGCTTTCTTTGGTAAACAAGCATCGTATATTTTATTATCATTTCAGCAGGAAGGGCCCAATAAGTGGATAGGCTATGTTTCTTGGGTGTCCTACGATCGTATGGATGTTAAACAAGTCTTCATGACAAAAGCGCGGTTTCATACAGTGAGGGAAATAGTATTTGATCACCTGCTGATTTTGTACGTTTGCCCACTGACAAAGAAATGATCAGTCTATAATTTTAATGGTAGGTTTATTTGAATAGTGAGAGAGAGAATAACAACAACAAAATCCAGAAAAACGCATGTCAAAAATGTTACAAATTGATTTGCATTTTAATGAGGGAAATCATTATTTGACCCTCTCTCAATAAGAACGATTTCTGGCTCCCAGGTGTCTTTTATACAGGTAACGAGCTGAGATTAGGAGCACACTCTTAAAGGGAGTGCTCCTAATCTCAGCTTGTTACCTGTATAAAAGACACCTGTTCACAGAAGCAATCAATCAATCAGATTCCAAACTCTCCACCATGGCCAAGACCAAAGAGCTCTCCAAGGATGTCAGGGACAAGATTGTAGATCTACACAAGGCTGGAATGGGCTACAAGACCATCGCCAAGCAGCTTGGTGAGAAGGTAACAACAGTTGGTGCGATTATTCGCAAATGGAAGAAACACAAAAGAACTGTCAATCTCCGTCGGCCTGGGGCTCCATGCAAGATCTCACCTCGTGGAGTTGCAATGATCATGAGAATGGTGAGGAATCAGCCCAGGACTACACGGGAGGATCTTGTCAATGATCTCAAGGCAGCTGGGACCATAGTCACCAAGAAAACAGTTGGTAACACACTACGCAGTGAAGGACTGAAATCCTGCAGCGCTCGCAAGGCCCCCCTGCTCAAGAAAGCACATATACATGCCCGTCTGAAGTTTGCCAATGAACATCTGAATGATTCAGAGGACAACTGGGTGAAAGTGTTGTGGTCAGATGAGACCAAATTGGAGCTCTTAGGCATCAACTCAACTCGCCGTGTTTGGAGGAGGAGGAATACTGCCTATGACCCCAAGAACACCATCCCCACCGTCAAATATGGAGGTGGAAACATTATGCTTTGGGGGTGTTTTTCTGCTAAGGTGACAGGACAACTTCACCGCATCAAAGGGATGATGGACGGGGCCATGTACCGTCAAATCTTGGGTGAGAACCTCCTTCCCTCAGCCAGGGAATTGAAAATAGGTCGTGGATGGGTATTCCAGCATGACAATGACCCAAAACACGGCCAAGGCAACAAAGGAGTGGCTCAAGAAGAAGCACATTAAGATCCTGGAGTGGCCTAGCCAGTCTCCAGACCTTAATCCCATAGAAAATTTGTGGAGGGAGCTGAAGGTTCGAGTTGCCAAACGTAAGCCTCGAAACCTTAATGACTTGGAGAAGATCTGCAAAGAGGAGTGGGACAAAATCCCTCCTGAGATGTGTGCAAACCTGGTGGCCAATTACAAGAAACGTCTGACCTCTGTGATTGCCAACAAGGGGTTTGCCACCAAGTACTAAGTCATGTTTTGCAGAGGGGTCATATACTTATTTCCCTCATTAAAATGCAAATCAATTTATAACATTTTTGACATGCGTTTTTCTGGATTTTGTTGTTGTTATTCTGTCTTTCACTGTTCAAATAAACCTACCATTAAAATTATAGACTGATCATTTCTTTGTCAGTGGGCGAACGTACATAATCAGCAGGGGATCAAATACTTTTTTTCCCTCACTGTAGGTGGTGATACCAAATTCGTTATCAGTCTGTTCTTCACATGTTACAGGAATACGGAACTGGTTAAAAATGCAATGAAAAAAAAAACACGACCACATTGCTTAGTGAACAAATTAAAGAAACGAAAATGTTTTATTTGACAAAGCAATATTATAATAGGACAATATTAATCATCATTGTTCTTATGTTTGCAGAAATCTTGAAGCTCTTTGGGGATTTCCTGACCCCCACCGAGAGAAGCGAGTTCCTCAACGTGAATAACATCTGGTATTTCGGAGTCCATAACAAAGGCTTTGGCACTCAAAACCATGGCTACGATGATGTCTTCAACCATTATGTCTCGGTACGACTCTCCTCAGGTCACGTAACACGTGGAGAACACACAAAGTCTGCACACTGACAAACACCATAATACTCTGCAGAACAGGCGGACAACATACCCTACACATTCACACTAACTCTTACACATGCCACACATATATTGCATCCATACTCAGTGACTGAATGAGCAGTGATTGGATCAGTATACTTAGTTGATGTGATTGCACCGCAGGTCGAGCATGAGCATCTCCATTTCCGATATGAGGTGCTGAAGAAGGTGGTCGGACCTTACAGCCAGATCTTCAAATGCCATGACCACAAGACCAACACCCGAGTGGCTGTGAAGATGTGGAGACAGTCATTCAGGTAAGACTTCACAATGTCTTGCATGGAGAAGGCAGGACAGTAAATCAGTTCCATATTTACGTGGGTAGTGTTATGGTGCTCATATGTGTGGGTTTTCTCTGGATTTATGTTTAACTTCTTTCGCGCCGTACGTAGCCCACTGTTAATCGCAGATGCGGTGAAGGACAACTGTCTTTGAGAGCGAGCGACAAACTGTTACAAGGGTCAATTATTGTAATTAATATGAAGCTGTGGATTTCCGCTGTTTAGTGCCGAGGAAGACCACAGCCAGTGGATGGAGTACCACATCTTGCTCCAACTTCAGGGCTGGGCCAATGATGATGTCAACGTTGACAGAATCCTCGACTTTTTCACCTTCAGGGGTCACAACTGCCTCGTCATGCAGCTCATACCGAAGTACGTACCCTGCTGTCTGAGCGGAGACATGTAAAGCTGGCTGCTCCACTCCATTTTCTTCTCCAGCCTTGCTAATTTTTCGATAGCCACACCGACAACCGTCAGTGTGACGGCAGTGGTAACACTCGTGCATCATTCCAAGAGCTTGGGTTCGATTGCTGACTCGGATAAGTGTCTGTGTGGAGTTTGTTCTCCACTTGTTCTGCATGGAATTTATCCCCATTCTCCGCATTCCTCCAATAGCGAAACACTCGCACATAATTTAATTGGCATCGGCCAAATTTGCCAGTGCTGAGAAAATACCTTAAAAATAACTCAGTTGGGATTACACAAAGAACAATGTCACCCCGACAGGAGAAACTTGGCAGGACCCTCAGGAAAAAAGTGTTTACATTTAGTGAGGCTTCCATGGATAAACGAGTATAATAATTGTTGATAATTTTTATTGCTTACTCAGCCCTTTAAAGGATGGCACTGACTTTGTGTTGTTGTCTCCTTAACAGAAGACGTCTGTTAAGTGCCATTGATTGCACGGCACCCCAGCACATTGAGATGACAATGGTGAAACTCTTCACCAAGTCCATCCTCAAATTCCTCATTCATCTCCATGCCAAGGGAATCGTGCATGGGGATATCCAGCCGGTGAGTGGACACCAGGTTCCGCACAACTGCAGCATTAATTTGAGTTCCCGTTCGGGGCTCGTCTTCGTAGAACCTATACCCATTGATCAAAGCGTTAATGCATCTGCTCTGTCCAACTGTCAGTAGCTGCGGGTCATGATAACTGTCGTACAGAGGGTTATATATGGGTGAAACTTGAGTTTAAAGTTGTGTTGCTATTAGGGACTCGCACTAGAGAAAAGCAGACATGTCGAAACAAAGCATTGCCCAAATCATGGAGACACAAACCAGTGCAAGTAAAAGGATGCTTTGAAATTAAGCAACTGTGCTTTAACCTGACAGCTGCCCACCTGTTTCCATGCTGCTCATGCGCATGAGAATGCGTTACCAACTTCATGCATGTGCCTGCTTCTGCCTAACTAACACTCACAGCTACAAGCTCCGTTCGGCCCTCTTGTAACAATCGTCATACAGGCATGATAAGAGCGCCCTCCTTTACGCCGGGCACCCCAGAGTGCTCTATATGAGATTAGAGATTGGAATAATCTCATCTAAATACATTTGAAAGGGCACCCCAGTGGCATCCGTCAGAAAACATTCTCTTGAGTTGCGATGAATAACCTTGGCAAAAGCGTGTCATCTCAGATTCCCCTTTTAATATTTATTGTGGTATTTTGCTACATGACCAATCTGCTGCAGGCTGAATAGTTGTGCATGCCTGTAATCCAGCACTGTAGAGCCGCAGGTTGGTGGATCACACCAATGGTGTGAAACATCATCTGTGGCCCCTCCTCGTGCCTCGGAGTGGTTCTCTCTCTTCCAGATAGAGTGAATACTGCATGGCATTGGCGTATTACAAGTTGACATTATTTATCATGACCTCTGAATGTGAATATCTTCTGCTGCCTATCGTCTAGAGGAACATGTCGATTAAAGAGCCTGGGGCAAGGACCATCCGGATGATGAGTTTTGAAAACAGCTTTTTGGTGGGACGCCAACGTGAGTCGTGAGTGTGTGGCTGAGTATGAGAATGTGTGTGTATGCAGTTCAAGGAACGGTAGTGTAGTGGTTAGCACACTGCATTTCGAAACTGGTGACCCAGGTGAGAGTGGCGATTTTCTGAACTGGTTGTGAGCCTCCCCTAGGTAGACTCAGGTCTCAAATGAGTACCTGGTGTGGTGTGTAAACAATGCCACTCAGGAGACAAAGGCATGGTGCAGGCCACCCACCCCCCTCAAGTGTCGTTTTGGACTTCATAGGTGGTCACTAATTGCACCTGCCCCAACAATGTCTAAGGCTACACGGGGGAACTTTTCTTTGTTTATGCAGTGAGGAACCGTAGTGTTGGGGTTAGTCGACAGCACTACAATCCTGGTGACTGTAGTAAAATTTGCGTTCATGAATATCTGAACCAGTCCTGGGCCTCCCCTAGGTCGACTCAGCCATAAATGAGTACCATGTGCGGTGTCTAGGCACCACCAGTTTAGAAGACAAAGGTGGCTGGGCGTGGTGCTGGCCACCGATCTTCGTGTGTGTTGTTCAGGCCTTCATTAGGTGCTCGCTAAAAGCAAATGCCAGATAAATTTGTTAAAGCCTATATGGGGACGTTTTGTGTGTGTGCACACGTGTTTGCGTCTCTTCACCTGTGTGTGCATGGTTCTAGACCTATGGGTGAGTACATGTGTTTGTATACATGTTTTTTCGTGCCTGTGTGTTGCTGTTAAAGGCTATATTGGTTATGTTTGTATTTTGTAATTCACAGGTTCACAGATTTTTGGTTCCCCTGCGTACCTTGCCCCAGAGGCATACCTGGGCCACATGTCATCTTTCCCGGTTGACATGTGGGGGCTGGGGTGTACAGTGGCCGAGTTGGCTACCGGGCGCATCCTCTTTCCGGCCATCAACAAACACGACCAGCTCCCGTGTTATATGGAGGTATTGCCCACACAGCAGTAACACTGACAATTCCGTTATTGAGTGATCAATTTCATGACCAATTTGCTCTTGAAATCGCGCAACTCAGTCATTGCTTCTAACCATGTTTTTCACTTCTCATCGAGTATTTCCGCATCAAGGGTATTAAAATAATATTCAGAATTGGTATGACCAATTGAACATGCGACAGGAAATACTTCCTTACAATTCCCTGAGCAGACCACTTGAGTCGTCTCTTCTGTGAGAAAGAGGCGTACGACTGCTCGCGACTGGTTGCATGGTTGTCCACACACAAGCTACTGAGTTGCATACAACCGCATGATAGAACCAATTACTCAGGCGTAGACCTGTCAAGGTAACTGTGAGCGGAACGCATAGATTTTTAGAGCTGGTGTTATGACTCGTGATAGATTATTGCATGAGGCCACGGATTGGCCAAATGTAACCCTACACCACCTGCAAATAATTTGAATTGTCAGATGAACGAGCATTTATCGCGCCAATTATTGTTGTTTCATCTCAACTGCTTGTAATGAAGAAAATTCTCACAACCATATAAGCAATTTCAAATGACGCCACGGGACCCATTACCTCCGCTGTGAATGAGGCAGATGGTGCATAGTATTTTGTGGTTTAATACCGCAGTAAAGACCAGGGCAGTCACTGGGATTGATCCGTGAACTTCTGCAACGTGCGGCGTTCGCGGTTTTGCTGGGCCATGCCAAACAGAACTTTCCACACAAGTGTGTCAATACTGTATGGGTGATCATTGTCTCTGTGTGAATTGTGTGTAGATCCTCGGGATGCCGCCTCAGAATTTGATTGATGACGCGCCTGAGAGAAACAAGTACTTTGGTGAGTGAAGGGGCGTGCGGGGGAATCGCGTTAAGTTTGAGGGGGAGCTGGGTCCGTTAAGAGTCTAGTGGGGCATTACTTTGTATATTCAACTACTTCCACATGTGTTTTGGCAGTCAATATGATTCGTAATGCATTTTTGGGGAAGGGTTAGGCCTCATGGTGATCTGCCCAAATTTGTGTCATTAAGGTTCTCCAACCACCCGACAAAGGCAAGCAAATTAAAGTACCATGAGTGCAAGCGATTAAAGAGATGCCAGTTGTGATTATAATCCTAATTATTTTTGTTGAATCACCTGTAATGTGAAGGGTAATGTTCAAAACCACGTTTAACAATGAGATCAGACGTTTTTGGGATGCTGCAGAGGCGAGGAAACGTTACCTCCCTCACCTGCAATGCAGAAGATCGTAGTGTAGATCCCCAGCCTGGTTGCTGTACATTGCGGGAACTTATCTTCTCCCTTTTGCCTGGTCGCCTCTTAAAAAGAGGCAATAGTTCAGTGGGCTTTACCTGGTAAAAAACAATGTTTTGCTTGAAAGAGGTTAAATCAAAGTTAAAAGAGCTTTTCTTTTTTACCTCTAGGATCTATCATAGTTAATACTTATTGAATGCACTTGGTATTTGCACTATCATTCTTAGAACGCAAAGCTATCACAAAGGATGGTGCCTGCTGTGTTTCACACACACCGTCTGCAGTCATTTTTCAGTAGCGGGCGTAACACCAGCATGATAATCTTATGACTTCACAAGGTCTGTAACGTTCTACTTTAAACCAAACAGCGCAAAGCATCGTATGGTTATTACTGAAGTAATTACTGAAGTAATAACCATGGCGGCTTGCAGAATTTGAACCATGAACTTCTGCAACAAGCGGTCAAAGTACTCCCACTGGTCTATGTCATAGCACTATAAGATTGTGTTTCTGCGCTGTGGGTGTACAAGGGTGCTGTGGTTTGTAATGATGTTTTACCTGGTCTGCATCATCCCTGCAGATGGTTCGGGGATGCCTTTGATGTCCGGACAAAGCAGGGTCCCAGGCAGTCACTCCCTATACCTGGCACTCGGGAGCCAGGACTCGGAGTTCCACGACTTCATTAGCCGCTGCCTGGAGTAAGAACCCCCCCCCCCCCCACAGAGTGGTTTTTCCCAGTCAGTCACCTGGTAAAAAGAAAAGAGTTTAATAGTTTAGCATCACTGGCGAATGCTCCTCTTTGATCACTAGCTCCACTCTCTATTCTGATTATTCTTTATCTTCCAAGCCATATATCCCATTAGACAACCTTGTCCATAGACTTGCATGTAAAAACATGCACTTGCATAGAGACCCACAGACTCACATACACTGACATGGTCCATACACGTGTAGTGACTCAGTCGGAGACAGGGTTCTTAAGGGACCTTCCTTATTCCACACGTCAGGAAACCACATGTGCCCCGCGTGTCTACGCGCTAGTCACACATCCATGTCCTTGACGGCACTACCTAGATGGAGCAGTCTGCAGGCTGTCTAGCTAGCGGCGTCAAAGGTGGTCGGAGACTGCGGCGACGAAGGTGACGATTGGCGACAGAGCGTGGGGATCCACTTCCAGCAACAGCCCCGAGCTCTCGTCCCGGGCCCCCTTTTATCCCCCTGGCGTGGCCTCGCCCCGCCTCGCTACGCCCTCTTTCTCGAACCTACTAGTGGGTTCTCAGGCTTCCAGATCGATTTCTTCCTGGGCTTCTTTTTAGATCTCCCGCTGCTGACGTGTACTGCCCCCTGCTGCCAGTACCGCTTTCTTGTCAGCAGCCCGCGTTATTACACTACACGTGTATAGAGAGACCCATAGACTCTCATACACTCACATGGTCCATACCAATACCGCCATTTGCCCCTAAGTGATGGTGATGTGACCATGACGCTTGTGCCAGGCTAGGTGCACTTTGAGACGTGGAGTGCCTAAGGCTCGCTGACTGTAGGTCATGGGACATACCCAGCGGGTGCCATGGTTTGGCTGACTGAGATGACTGACACATGCACCACTGTACCTCCTACTGTGCCAACTTACTGAATTTTAGCCGCCTGGCGCTCCACTAAGTGTTGTGAGCATCATTCCTCTGCCCGCCGAGGGCGGCTGTCTCCACCTGCCCAGTAGCGTCCTTCATGAGCCTCCTCCAGAGGCCGATCTTGACACTGCAGGTAGCAGTCTTCGGCAAGTCAACTCAGCTCCACATCCTCTCGTACCGCATCAGTCCATCTCTTCTCCAGCCCGTGTCGTGCCAATTTATCCCCCTCGATGCAACCAAACAGAAGCTGCTTGGGTATGCGGTGGCTGGGCATGCGGGCTACATGACCGAGCCAATCCAGCCTTACCTGTCGGAGGAGCTCACTGATGGGAATGTGTCCAAATCTTTCAAGAATTTGTGAGCTCCTCACACAATCCAGCCTGGATAAACCTAGGATGGATCGAAGGAAGGCCAGCTTAAACGTTTATAACAGGCACAGATATTCCTTTAGAGGGGTCCACGTTTCACAAGCATAGAGAAGAGAGGGCATGACTGTGCCCGAGAAGATCTGAAGCTTCGTGTGGAGCGACAAACCAGATAGCTTCCACACAGCATTGCTCAGCCGATAAAAAAACGACGCCCAACTGCTGATTCAGTAAGACCTCTGCTGTCGAACCGGAGCTGGTCATAAGCACACTGGCCAGGTATGGGAAACTCTCCACTCTCTCCACAACTGCTCCATGACCAACGGGGAGCTGAGGGGGTGGAGTGTTTGATGGTACAAAATACCCATGCAGGTGCTTAGTGTTGGTGGGGCTGATGGTGAGGCCCCACCTCTGAGTGGCAATCTCCAGGTTCAGCAGTAGTGCTTCCAACTCCTCCTCTGAGTGAGCAGCAATCACCAGATCAGCATACATTACATGGTTGACCAATAGCGAGCCATTACTCGACCCCACCCAGTCTCCCATTTTCTCTGTACCAGATGGAAATTTCTCCGGTACAGCCATCAAAGGCTCGACAAACTACATGGACGAAAAGATGTTAAATAATGTGGGATGCAGAGGACATCCCTTTCGCCAGGGGCGGTTTCTTCATTAGGGCGATTGGGCGACGCACCACCAATGTCATTCAACCACAGAGTCACGCTAGCCGTCACTGCAGCCTCTGGATATAGTCCAATCAGCGTCATGTCACGTTCTGTGGAGTACCGCCTCTTTTGGGGCGATTTCACTACGGCTGAGAATCGCCCCGAGTGGCCCCATAGACTTACATTGAAAGATGTTTTTTTTCGAACGGGGGCGCTCCAATGCATTATCTATGGCTTCCGGGAGGGCGAGCCCTAGCGTGCTTACGTCATCATACGTGCTTACGTCATCATACGTAAGCACGTTTCATCCAACAATATAATTTATCGCTACCTAGTGGAATCTTTAATAAAATAAACTTGAGTGGTTTGTTTTAATAGTGAGTATATAAACAAACAAGATGTATTGTAAGAGTCACTTTATTTTTCATTAATATTAAAGAAGTGAAGTTGCTGTTAATTTATTCATTGCATGGGTGGACCTTATCCTTATCAATCATCCAGACATTTGCCCCCCCTGAGAGATTTTGCAGGAGCCGCCACTGCCTTTCGCACCCCAAGGTAAACAGGGAATGGCTCTGACTTCTGGCCACGTAGCTTTACCTGAGGTTGGCCACCATCATGAAGGCCCTTAATGTCCACACACTTACATAGAGACCCACAAACTTGCATACACTTACATCAGCCATACATTTACAAATAGACCAATAGACTCACATGTACTGACATGGTCCATACACATATAAAGACCCAGACTCATACACTTATATGGTCTCTACACTTATAGAGACCCATAGACTCACATACCCTTACAGAAAAGCCCTTAAAAGGAACATATATCGATATATGTATATCATGTATGTGGAGGTGGGCTCGTGAAGTATGCCACTGGGCAACGCCAGGCTACTGGGCAGTTGGAAGCATTGGCCCTCCAACAACAATTGAGGGTGGTGGAGCGATGTTCACAATGAGTGGAGCACCAGGGGGACAAATACATCAAGGTGGCACAGTGGGGAGAACAGAAGGTTCATCTGACAGTCATCACCAATAGTGGAGGATTTCTGTTTCTCTTTTTTTAATATATATAGTCAGGTCCTGCAATTTTTTAAAATCAGGGCTCTATGACACAATCAGCCACTATTGAGTCATGACATAGCCAACATCGTGGTGTATTTGATTATTGCAACTCACTAGTCTAAGGGACGTCTGGAAAAAGCATTAGGAAGCTGCAGCATGTACAGTACAACATTCTTTGCAAGATTCAACCATGTCCGTCCAGTGTTCACGGAGCTGCATTAGATTACATTTACTGAACGAATATATTTTAAGGTCGCACTCATTACACACAAAATTCTTACCACAAATGAGCCACAATATCACTGGGAAATTCACTTTTAACTCTAGATTGAAAATTACATCTTTTTATAACTCAGTATTGAATGTAGTTTGTTGTCCTTCACCCGCATCTGCAATTGGCTATGTACGGTGCGAAAGAAGTTTAACATACACACTTAAGTTAATGGACACAGTGAGAGAAAGAAATGCACATAAATCCTTACATCATTATCACCCTTACCACGTGTGCCACATATTTCTGTGTCTCAACAGATGGGATCCAGCTCTGCGGATGACACCAGCAGAGGCACTGGCGCATAGCTGGCTGAGGGATGAGGAAATGCCGAGGGATGAGGAAATGCCGAGGGATGAGGAAATGCCGAGGGATGAGGAAATGCCGAGGGATGAGGAAATGCCGAGGGATGAGGAAATGCCGAGGGATGAGGAAGTGCCGAGTCAGTGTGTGCCTCTTGTGGACACATCAATCCACGCAGAGGCATCCGCCAAGGAGGAGACGAGACAGTGGGGTGAGCCCCTGCAGAAAGAGAAGAAGCAGTCACGTCTGGTTAGTGCGTACAGGGCCGTATGCTCATTCTTCCGTGGCTTTAAGAAATGCACCGCATGCGACCGTAATGCTCATCCTGGGCGTGTACACATTCCACACACCGTATACACACGCTCGCCTAAGCGAATGCATGGGCAACTTCCGGTGCTAGCGTCAATATCAGATCCCATCTACTGAGTTTTTTAACCCCACATAAATACAGTAAAACCGCTCTTAACGACGGTAATTGGTTCCATGAATATGGTTAGTAAGTAATTTGGTAATTAAGCAAGTACAGTCGACCCTTACACATCGCGGGGATTAGGGGTGCAGGCCCCTCGCGATCTGGAAAAACCGCATAAAATGTTTGGTCCCCTTGGCGAGCGAAGCGAGCACCTCCAGTTACTAAACTTTTTAAGTTATCTCTACATGTTCAGTCTTTGCGTGTCGTCTGATGGCTTTTGCGTTCTTTTAGAAAACTTTAACTTTTTACAAAATGTAACGTAAAAAAATGTATTGTGTATATTTATGGTATTAAAAGATACAATAGATTAATGTTATACAGTACTGTACATATATTTTATGCATTTATGAGTTACTAAACTTTTTGTGTCGTCTGCTGACCTTCGCATGTCATCTGTGGCTTTCGCAAAACTCCCAAAAACTCCCCAAAAATTTCCATTTAATTTCTTATGCCGACCCCGCGATATATTGAAACCGCGATGGGGAATGTCGTGATGCAGAAGGGTTGACTGTAATTTAGTCATTAAGCAAGCATAGGAAAGACATGTTAAAGGCTTAATTTGTTTCCATAGCATCAAAAGTTACACCTTTTCCACCCAAAAAACGTATTTTATAATGTTTAAAAATTTTATATTAGCAAATAAAGTTACTAACAACATGATAAACACAGAATATTTGAAAGAAACTTGGTTAATTAATTCATTAATATTGCTTTGTAATAAAAAATCAACAAAGTTGCATGATAAAGCGAGACAAATACAGCAATACTGTATAGAGTAAAACACAGTCTGCGATGACACGCGAGATGCGTATGTAGGCTGAACAAAGACTGAGGTGCATGGGTAGCATCTAGAAGCGCCTTGCATCGTGATGTTATGCCGAGGCAGCCATACAACCGCTTATTTCTAATCGCACGGCGTAGTTCTGTTCACTCAATCGCGTTATTAAAAGAATGTGTTCCTTAATACATTATTAGCGTCATCAAAACACGTTATAGCAGAACTGACTGTACACACTATACACTACACACGCCATACACATGGGACTAGCTCATTAGTGTAGTTAGCCCTACGCTGGGCCCTGCCATCCTGGTTTTCATCCGGGCAGTCCTCAGAGGATGACCTCGCCACGGTTTCCAGGACATGGAAGGGCATAGCTGAACCAGCATTTGAGAGCTGAGGTGGCCTGGTGATATAACAGATGAAGCCAAAAAGGGCAAGTACCAAGGCCACCTGTTAACAGTTAAGATTCATCTTATTCATAGTTGTATAATTATCATTGTTGGTTTAAAAGACGTAATAAAAAAGAAAATATTGGTAATGTCGACTCAAACTCGTCTCTATGTCATGCAACTCGGAGTTCACATGAGGGGGGGGGGGAGCGGGGTTTGGGTCTGGCCTTCACCGACTCCCCGTTGAGACCCACGGTGGGACTTGTGCCTCCTCATCATGCATAGAACAGTTCCACTCGGTGTGGACGCTGATGCGCAGTGGCCCCGATGAGTCACTATCGGGCATGGTCTGATTAAGGGCCCTTTCAATCAATCAACTCAGCCTCCCAACTTGACTACCACTGTGATGTGTTTCCACACACCACGTGGTGCAGTGTTCTCCTCTGGTCCAACAGTGTCCATTCCCTCTACCGCACCTTTAGGCCCCAGGTGCCTCTCAAGAACCTCTATCAGCTACACAATGCAATCATGAAGCCTAGAAGCCTCACGCAACGCCATGAACGTGTGGTTAAGATGGTGATGGCTTTTATGTCCACACGTGGACCTCCAATTAGTACGGTTGGCTACATATGCTGCAAAAGAAGTTCAACATACATACGTGGGCAGAGTCAACCGGCCCTTTATGTTCATGCAGGGCGATGGATACTCACTTTAGTTTGGTAAACTTAGCATTCCACCCACTCCGAAAAGGCAAATACGCACAGTCCCACATCTGATGCTCTGTAACACTCGGCTTGCTATCAAGGCCGATGAAGACAAAGCATCAGAGGGCCTCTCTGAATCACTTTAACCATTTGTTCTTACAAGTGTAGGACTCGTACTGACGCGACAGCTTTGTCTTTCTCGTTCTTTATTAACGCGTATAGTTCACATCTCCATCGGCATCACCCAATGTCCCTCCATTCTCTTCAACGCACAACTCCCCATCAACATCACTCAATGTCCCTCCGTTCGCTCCGCTGGCTTCGCTCGCTCTCCCTCTGCTCCTCTCCTCCAGCGACCTCCCTCTCTGCTCTCTCTCTCTCTCCAGCTCAGTGGCTCTTTGTTCTCTCTGCCGTCTCACTCCGTCGTAGCTTCTCCACCAAGGTCCGTTACTCCGCTGCTATCCTATACTGTATTCTCTTTATCCGCTGCTACCCTACTGTGTCTTCTCTTTGTCCACTGCTACCGTACACTCTCTCTGTCCACTGCTACCTTATACTATACTCTCTTGTCCACTGCTATTGTATACTATACTCTCTTGGCTGCTGCTCCGTCTCTTCCTCTATCCGTCTCTTGTCCCAGGCACCAACCAACCCCCGTTTCTCCCCACGCTCTGCCTTTATCCCTGAACCAATTCCCTTAATCAATTAGACCATCCCCCGCTTCGCCCCTCGCCCCCAGCCTCACGTGATGTTGTTATTGTAGACATCGAGGCGCCAATTCCCAACACCCATCCCTCTCGTCCAATCACCGGCCTGTGTCCTCGATTACCCCCGAACACCTGTAGGCCCCCCTTAATTACCTTACCACCTTAATTGGTACAATAACAACAGTATGTCGCCCGCTCCCTGTGTCCCCGTTTGCCCTCACTGTCTGCCGCGTGCCCATATCACAATCCGACGCGTGTTTCTCAAGTCCTACACAAGTAAAACTCTGGACCGGTTTTAACATTCAGTGTCTCACCAAGAGTCAGGCTTGCTTGAACCATGTTTTCAGTTCTAACAACACTCGGGACCGGTTTTGACTTTCATTGTCTCATCAGCAGCATATTCACCTTCATCAGGCTCAATCGAGCCTGACTCTGCCGCTGATGAGAACCTGAACGTTCAAACTCGTGTGAAATGTGATTCTCATCGGGCCCCAGGCCCATGGTGTAAACCAATGCAGCCTCCAGTTCTTAGCATCCAATCTGCCTCTCTCCTGGCTTCTCTGTGCATGTGCTATGAAAAGAAGGCAAGTCCATTTCCCAAAAGGTCGCCTATTGTGCCTATTGTATATTTTAATCCAGTCAAAGCCTCACATGCTACGCTATTATTGATGACATGGAGAAGGGTCATTGCCAAAAAAGTCACCTGCTGAGTTCATTGGTTGATTACGTCATCAGATTGAGAGGGGGTGGCTTCCCTCACGTGAAAAGATTGCAGAACACTCAGTGCAAGAGAGAGACACAGAAACAGACACAGCGACAGAAACACGAAGACACAGAAACAGAGACACAAACAATAACACAGTGACACAGAGACAAAGACAGAAACAAAGGTACAGAAACACATACAGTCAAAGAAACACCGCAAAAAAACACGAAGAAACAAAGATACAAACACTTAAACAGACACAAAATTAGACACAGACAGAATCACAAAGACAGAAACACAGACATGCACAGATACACAGATGTAGTGGAGGTGTATATCTCCTTCTATTCTACTAACATGGTCCATCCAGCACTCACCCTGGATGCAAACAGGACCCTGCGGGGTGGGCTGGTAGGAACGAATAACCAAAGAATATAAACATAATGTATTATTACACTTGTTTAGCCAGGAAAGGCCCACCGAGTCTAAAGGTTTTTTTAGGGTCCTGCCAAGTGTTTGCAGTAGGGGGCGATGTTGCTACACCTAATGACGATACGAAGGGAGAGTTTGAGGCCTAGTTGTAGGCTTTAGGCCTAGCTGTAGGCTTTAGGCCGCTGTGAGTTAATTGTTAATTTAAATGATTAAATTATTTATGTAAAAACTTTAAATGTAAATGTTTCTATTTAAAAACATCAGGGAATGTAACATTGTTAAACATTAACTCCCTTTCACACACGCGGGGGTACGATACGAAGGGAGAGTTTGAGGCCTAGTTGTAGGCTCTAGGCCTAGCTGTAGGCTTTAGGCCGCCGTGAGTTAATTTTTAATTTAAATGTTTTTATTATTAATGTAAAAGCTTTAAATTTAAATGTTTCTATTTAAAAACATCAGGGAATGTAACGTTGTTAAACATTAACTCCCTTGCACACACGCGGTGGTACGATACGAAGAGAGAGTTTGAGGCGTAGTTCGAGGCTTTAGGCCTAGCTGTAGGCTTTAGGCCGCTGTGAGTAAAATTGTTATTTAAAAGTTTTAATTAAAAGCTATCTCAGGGAATTATAAGGGAATGTTACACTTGTTTAGCCAGGAAAGCCTCATTAATTTAAATGTTTTAATTAAAAGCTATCTGAGGGAATTATAAGGGAATGTTACACTTGTTTAGCCAGGAAAGCGTCACTGAGTCTAAAGGTTTTTGTAGGGTCATGCCAAGTGTTTGCAGTAGGGGGCGATGTTGCTACACGGACGGACGGACGGACAATATAATCTATTGTAGGCTGGTTCACTTCGTTCCTACCAGTATAACCCATTTTTATTAACTCCAACACCACTCAGTCTGACAGTTGCGGCATCCCTAATCCTGAATGGCCAGGCGCATCGGAGTAACAAGGGGAAATAACACAACTAACTATTTACCACAAGACGCCCACACGGTTGTACGCACCTGCCATGCCAGTCCCACAGAGGTCCAGTCTGTGATTTTTCGCTCTTAAGAACACGAGTAGCCAGGGCACAGCGTGAGCAGAACAGGCCCAGGGTGGAAGGTCATGGATGCATGTGAGCAGGGGGTGTGTGGAATCTGCCAAGGGGAGTCACGATGTCTCAGCGCATACGACTGGGAGCACACAGTGGCTATGAACGCCTGACAACCTGATATCTTAGGCCAAGTGTCTACCGTTATGCTGACAATGCAGAAACGTGTCAAGCGGCTTTGTATCAATATTCCTGGGATTCCCCGCTCCACGTCCCACAGGATCATGGTTCCGAGGTTAGCAGAGTTAGCCTAATAAACATAATAAGCATTGTTTACAGTTACTACGGATCGTTTTCACACTGGGACTCACTGTCACAAGTTCGAGTTCAATTTGATATCCTGGACCTTGCTGATCACTGTCCTTTGTTGCTCCTATATATCCTGTTACTGGGATCACGATCACTCTGTCTCTCCTCATATCCCTGTTTGTCTCTCTGTGTATCCTGGTGCTTCCCTGTGTGTGTCTGTTTCTCCATGTCTTCCTGTGGCTCTGCGTATTTACCTGTGTCTCTCCATGTCTTCCTGCGTGGCTTTGTCTCCCTGTTTGCTGTCTCTCTGTCTTTGTGTATCTGTATCACAACGTTGATGTGCCTCTCCGTCTCGCTGTCTCATTGTCTCGCTGTATCACTTTTTCTGTGTGTCTGATTCTATCTCGGTGTTTGTCTAACTCTGTATCTGCGTCTTTGTCACTGTCTCTGGGAGGGAGACAGCAACCTTCAACTGGTCTTCCTGTTAAATGAAGTTTCTCAATGGGAAAGCGAATGCGAGGGAAGCTGATCATCACACATTTTTACAAGCCACCAAATGACCTCTGGCCCGATATGCAATGCAGCCTTCAGTGCACCCAACCGTCAACATTGACGACTTCAACAGCCAACACTACATGTGGGGGTATTCTAACAACAACACTGCACAAGGACAACTGTCAGATTGGTTCTCCATGCACGACCTAAACATGGTGTACAATGCAAAGCAGTCCGGCACATTCAGTTTCATCAGCTAGAAAGACTACTCGCCTCATCTTTCATTTACGAACCACAATAGCAATGGCCGACTGCTGATGCGCTCCCGACAAGTGCTGCCCATCTTCTCCCAATCCCAATATCGCCCAAGTCAACCGGTTCTGCAGAAGGTGAGTGAGTGCAGTTTGTATGATCTCCCCCTGTTCTGCAGAGTGAGATTGAATGAGTAGAGTTTGTAACTTCTCTGTCTTATAAAGATTCACAGTGGAGATTGTATGATCTTCCCCAGTTCTACAGAGTGAGTGGAGTTTATTTTCTCTCCCCATTTTGCAGAATATGATTGAGTGAATGGAGCTTGTATGATTTCCCCCTGTTCTGTAGTAAGAGTGTGTGAGTTGAGTTTGTATGATCTACCCCTGTTCTACATAGTAAGAGGAAGTGAGTGGAGTTTGTATATTCTACCCATACGGGGTAGATCCGTGTGATGTAAGGAAAAAGTTTAGCTGGACGCATATTATATTATTTGCGACAATTGTAAT